GAAGGAAGGGTAGAAGAAAGGCAAGTATTATTTAAATTGGATTCCGCGATTCCGTACGGCGTCGCTTCCACGCCGTTCCCTATCCTTCGCTTTTTCTTTCGCGTTTCGCCAATTGATCCGCTCTCGATGGTGAAATATTAAACCCCGTGGACCCCCGTAGCCTGCGGATGCCGTCGTGCGCAACCCCGTCAGGATTGCGCCGGCCTTATTCCATCTGCGCGAGAGTCCCGATCGTGCAGAATCCTAGAACGTCTCCCGGGAACCGGCTATCTGACTTAGAATTTTAATAATCGAACGCGGAATAGGACGAAGCCTGGCTAGAACACCGCTACGGCACACCCTTCATTTTCCAGCAATTTATTTGCCCGCCGTCGCGGCGCGAACTTCAGCGTCCGACTCGGATTTGCATATCCACCGAGGAGGGAACTTCTATTAAATATGGGCTCCGTGTCTGCCGAGTCGCGCGAATGCTATTTTTCTCGCGGAAACCACCGGCATCCACGGTAACGGGCGCGAAATATCTACCCTGGCACGACTCCGACGCGCAAACAGACCGGGGGTGCGGAGTGGAGAAAAAGCGACGCATTAAAGCAGACAACGGGGTCGTGCGTAAATTCCTCTGGCAACACGGATGTCTACGAGTGGCGAAGTGGCTTCGAACGGTAGCTTCGTTCAGCCGCAACCCCGACTCCGTCTAGCTCAAAGTCATCGGTCAGCCGTGTCCGTCGTGAGACGAAGGAGACAAAGGCAGAGTTGAGGTCCTCGCGGTACGAACACTGCCCACGAGCCAGCCACTTCCAGATAGCGGTTAAAAGCCGGCTCGTCGTCGGAACGACGCAATTCGAGAGTCCTTTAATTAAAGGAGGTTTTCACGACAGAGTCTCCGGCAACACGCGACCGAGGAAAAACACCGGCCACTTCCGTCCAAGAATCCGCTCTCCTTGCCCGATAGCACGTAGACCGGGGTTTACGAGCGTCCCCCAAGACCTCTGCAAGTCGCTGCCGATATTTCACCCCGACCTCGTAGACGTCGCACGCTGAGTGTTTCTTGTCGGTGATTAAGTTTACGCGGCTCTGCACCACCTTCTCGAGGAAGCTTCTCGATTCCGGCAATTCAGGCGGGGGCAGAGGACAATTTCGCGAATCGATTGTCAATGACGAACTGTCAACGATCGAACGGAGACGCGACAGTCATGAATATTAAATGCAGTTTTAAATAAATTTAATCCGGGATTCACGGAGATTGAATATTCATTGGCGATATTGATCAACGTCGTGTTTCATTCATGCGGTCTGCGTCATTTCCCTCCGTTTCCGCCTCACCGTCCATCCAACCGATTCTTCCGTTGTATTGTCTCCTTACCCCAGCCACGACGATCCGTCGATGACTCCGTACCCTGTTTGGGGTACGTCATCGTATCCTAATTATCAGATTCGTTCTCACGAGGGTAGCTCGTCTTTTTCGAATTATTCGGCGAAATTCGTGTACCGAGGCAGTTCGATCCACGATCTCGCAAGGAGGAGCGATGTCTACCGAGGTTTGTAAACAGGTGTGTTGTAGTAAAAGACTAAGTACTGTAGGAAAGGAATAAGTACGGCACTGAGAGAATGTCAAGAGTGTAGTATCGCAGGATTTTCATCTCGTGCATAGGTAGCTTTAACTTAGAAAATCACCGAGGGTTCGAGGACCAGGTCGATCGGAAAAACTCCGGCGATGCGTGACCATATTTTGTCATTCTAGAATTGCTATAAAATTTCACTCATCGGTAACCAGACTAATCAAACGGCTACAGTGGTCTTTTGATAGCTATAGTCAGAACTGTATTATCATATGTCAATGTCTCCAGTGACAATTGCTCTATCCATTGATCGTTGTACAATTGCTGAAGAACTTAGATGAGGAGCGAACAGATTATTTCAATCGTTATAGTATTGCGTAGTTGGCTATAAAAGGACCTTAGCATGACCATATTTTGTCATGTTGGGGGAGGCTTTCGGGGAAGATATAAGAGAAGGCAAAAGTGGTTAGTGAAGAGTTCTTACGAAGAGTGATTGGAAGAGAATCTTAGGGAAAGTCAACCCCCATAAAAGAATTAGAATTTCCCAAACCTATAAACAAATTAACAATTTGTTTAAACTTCCACTTCCACCTACCAGTTTCGAACCTCCTGCACATCCCTCCAACGAACACGCCGCCAATAGGAGAAAAAACACACCTACCACTTAGACATCTCGACAGCCAATGACAGCAACAGACGAACATACAAAAATACACGACACCAAGAGGACAGACAGTACAAACATCAAAACGACACAAACGACACCACGGTAGAACGCACATCGCTAAGACATATTGTAAATTGCTGTAGATATATTGAAATTAAATTATATTTAAACCGTCAAAAATAGCTTACGTTCTTAGAACGACGTAAACCTTCGCCTGAATTCTTCATACAGTCGACAAGAAGATTCGGACGATACAATTGGAAGAGGGTCTTAGTAGGATTCTCAGGAGTGATCAAAACAGAGTTGTGTAGAGAGGGGTTATTAGTTGCTAGTTGCTTAGTTGTGAGGCATTAGTTGTAACTGGCTGAGTTGTCATTGTGTTGTAGGATTGAGTTGTAGCCTTACGTTGTAGTCGATATAGATTGATATGTTTAATCGTCACTCGCATATTGTTAATATATTATTATCATTCTTAATTAATAAACAGCTTTATTTACCAACCACCACCCAAGTCTCTACAAGATTGTTCGTGCTTAGAACGAAAGCGACCGCGCGCAAGAGGATCGAATGATTTCTTTGCATTACAACCCCTGAAGAAGGTGTCCCCCTAGCAGAGCTCCCGATAAGGAACTGCGACGTAATAAAGGATTTAATAAATCTCTCTTAGCGAAAACAGGAGTGGTGACATGGCGCAGCAAATATTGTCGCAGCTCTCGGCCAGCTAACAAATGGGCCACGATGAACGCTTATCAATCATCGTATTAATCGTATCGATGATGGATCACCGGTCGACGCGATGCTTCTGCCATCGTCCATGGGCTCGTCCACGTTCCAGAAGTCGTTCTCGCGTAACTACCGTTCTCGCGTGACAAATACGCAATTTCGAGGAACACGTGAAAACATTTCGTCGCTCACCCTTCCTTCACGGTTCGACCCCGCTTCGTTTCGAGGAAAAAAGGAACCGTTTATTGGCAACTGTTTATTGGCAGTTTCTGGAGAAGATCCGGGAAGAACGTCGAACCTGGATTCGCAGATTTCCTTGGGTCTGCCAGGTATCCGCACCGCGAAGCGCGATTCCATTACAACCCTCCACTTTGTCGCGAATTCCCTTGTGCAGTTGGCTCGTGATCGCTAATTCAACGAACGCTGTTTGCTTGCCGGTGCGCGCACAGGAACTCGAGGGATGGGACTCGATGAGGAGAGACAGTCGGTATCAGGATGATCAAAGAACTCGTCGCGAGGACGCGTTCGGCGTTTCCTGTCGAATTAACTCTGATCCATTGCCGGTTAGACCTCGGAGGCTCTTAGATCCGTATCAAACATCCCCAAATAAATCGTCTTCTGTCGACACTCGTTTAATCGGGGACGGTCGAGGTTGTTATATCGATTTTGACCCTTGCCGAATATTCATTACGCAGTTATCCCTAGAATTTTGGCCACGAGAGGATCCTGGCGACGGGAGAGGTCAAAGAAATACCAACGGCGCAGCGCCAGACTTGGCAGAAGGCTCGCGGAAGACTTGGCAGGAGCGATGGCGGAAGACTTGGCGGAAGATGGAGATTCGCGTTAGACGAAGTGCAACAGGGATACCGGTTCTCCGGGACGAAGACAGAGGGGGTAAGAGTCGTGTAACAATGTCAGTCTATCCGGGTTTGTTCTGCCCTACTTCGTCCTTACGGCGGCTTTTGTTCACCGACTGGCCCTCCTCGGATCAGATCAGATTACCGGCCACGAGGCGCTTTAGCCGACGAAATGCGGGTTTCCATTGCACCGAATTGGCGACGTAAGGGGATTGGGAAACGCGAGACCCTGGTCCGTAACCCTTTCCAACCCTCGTGTGACCCGTTCGCCCTTCTCTAATGTCGTGCCGCCACTTCCGCTTCGAGCACCCACGCTCACACTTGCGACTCGGTCAAGCCTCTCTCCAGACGCGGATGGGATTTTCCCCGTTGCAACTCGTCGTCTCGATGGACCCAGGTAGGGTGGAGCGAGGGGACGGAAGAGTGCTTTCGTCCATCTCGTTGCTTTGGCGATGGAATTTTATTTATCGGGCACACGTGCCTCTGTTTACCTCTACCTGCTCCGTCGAGTGTGCCTTTGTTCGCAAGGATGGCGAACAAATCGTAGGGAAGTAGATCCAGAAGTGGATTGGAAGGGATCCTGGGTCCTCCAGGAAGTGTCTTAATTATGTTGCAATTTTTGGGGCAAGATTCGGGACAATGGGGTAGATAGTCGAGGGTGGAACGTCTCCAGTGAACGGGAAGCTTGGGAAATGGGGCTATTGAGAGGAAGGTTCGTATTTAGGAGGGTGGATCGGTAGAATCGTTTGGTTGAGTGTATCATTGGATGGGTTCGTTTCAGTGAGCCTTATCGGATGCCAAAATAATTCGGTCGAATAGTAATGTAATCAATCGCGAGGTAGAAAATCAGAGGAAAAATATTCTTCCAGTAGTAGAAGCGTATGATAAGCGACCGAGTAATAAGTAGAACGATACCGCGCATGGTCAGACGCAGGAAATTCTAGGGCAGCTCGTATTTCTTTCGCTTTAACGCGTTTCGAATTACGTTTTGAGCAATCTTCGACGTCGCTAGTGAGAAAATCAGAGCTATTTCGTTATTCGCTTTCTCCCTTTCGTCGAAATTCCATCGATGAACGCTGATACGATTTAAGAGATCAGCGCAGCGAACCGTAGTCGGGGGAAAGAAAATTCAAAAGCGGAACAATGGAGACTAATCGCGGTACTGTTTCAAAAGGATTCAAAAGGCCCACTTACCCGTGACGATGACGTTAATCGTTTTAACCAGGGGCGGATGCGTCCCGACTTGGCACTTGTATATGCCGGAATCCCGCGGGGTTGCGTATAGGATCTGTAATCTCCAATTGTTGGGGTACCTGCGGGGTCAGAAAGAGGAAAATTTCATTTGTCCCTGCTGCGTCACGATTTCTTTTTCAATGCACCGGATTTTTACAGGGCATGAAAGCCGACGAGTTGATCGCAGATCAAGGACACCGAGTCAGCTAATTTTACCAAGTTTCGGTATAGAGATATCGATAAAAATGGCGTTTCGTTTGATTAAAATGGATTTGATACCGGGAATATATTTTCTGATTTCGTTCATTAGTCTTTCTAGTCGGCGGTGCATTGAAAAACAAAAATTACAAAAGCTCTCAAAATTGAAACACGATATTAATATAGATTATGTATATTTCTATTATAGATATTAAAAATTTCGTTCTTTGAATACATCATATATCAAAAACATTTCAATATGCACTGGCTCAATGATTAAGTTCTTTACTATTTTGTAAAACTTACAATTTACTATCTTGTATTTAATTGTAAATTGGTTTCTTTTAATTTTTGACATAGACTACTTTTCATAATTACTGCTATACTACTACGTTATTACTGTATATTTCATTTCACTATTTTTAATGTAAACCAAAGGACTTTCGTCCGTTAATAAAGTATTATTATTATTATTATTATTATTATTATTGTAATTTCAATCGTAAGTCGAGCGTACATAGCTCATCTTTGTGACGTTCGATTAGACTTGAATTTATAATATAAATTCTCGATTTAAGGTGCACATTTGCAACAACATCCACATTAATTTCGGAGACATAATAGGCACGACACCGCGCGTACGCGAACGTCTATAGCATTATGCGCTTACCGGAAGTTGAGACTGATCCTCTGGTCTACGCTGTAAGGAACCATGCCGACGGTGAGCAGCCGAAAGGAGTCCTTGCTGGGCTGCTGCAGCCACGTCACCTGAATTTCCACGCAGGAAATATCTTTCGTTATTGCCTCATAAATCACGGATTTCTCGGCACGGTATAGCCCGTTTCCCGAGAGGAAAAGAAGCGTTGCATTGTTTCTGGTAGACAGCCGCGGAATTAAGCGGAATCTCGTCGAAAGTTAATAATTTCGCGACAAGGAATCGGGCACCCCCACCCCCTAAAGGCTGATTCGTTCGCGAATGAATGCGCCGTGCAATTTCACGCTAAGCGTTCGAGAAACACCGGCTTACGATTCTCGCTCCCTTCTCGCCGTCTTTTCAACGAGTCTCCCGTGACACGGCCATCATTTTCCTCTTTTTTCCCTCCTTTTTCTTTACCCACCCTTCCCGCGGGACCTCTGTTTTATTCCGTACGTGACGAGTGTCGCGACGACGGGATTCAGGCGACGGGTTCGCCGAGGCGTCATCTGTCTCCGCCGAGGTTCACGTTTTCGGTGATGAAACCCTTTCACTTCGGATACTCGTTCGCGTTCAACCGATTAAAATCAAATATTCGAGGTGAGGTATGGATATTTCCATATTCGAATTCGAATACCGAAGGTCGAGTGTCCAAATCGCGATGTTCGAATTCGAATATCCACGGTCAAGTATTCAAATCTCGATGTTCGAATTCGAATATCCACGGTCAAGTATTCAAATCGCGATGTTCGAACTCGAATATCCACGGTCAAGTATTCAAATCGCGATGTTCGAATTCGAATATCCACGGTCAAGTATTCAAATCGCGATGTTCGAACTCGAATATCCACGGTCAAGTATTCAAATCGCGATGTTCGAACTCGAATATCCACAGTTAAGTGTTCAAATCGTGATGTTCGAATTCGTAGTTCTCTACTTGAGCATTCGACATTCAAATTTAAATATTCAAATTCAAAAAATTCGCATTCAGATTTACAGATTTAAATTCGAGTATCAATATTCCAATCAGGAAATTAAAATTCGATCGACGAATCGCGAGAATCAATTAAGAAATTCGACAATTCGAAACGCAAATATAATGTCCACGATCAAGTATGCACTTTGCAATGTTCGAATTCGAATTTCGATATTTCAATAGGGAAATTGAAATTCGACGGATGAAATACGATGGTCAATTAAGAATTTCGACCATTCGGAGCGCAAATATTTCGATTCGAATGCACGAATGTATACGATGGAACGGAATCGTTAAAATTCCGAGTTTAAACAGAGTTAAGGACAGAGTTGGCCAGGATATTTTCCGACACCGAACCGCGCTGCTCTTTCGGCGAACATCGAACGGCCTTTTACCCCGTCGTCCGTTGTAAAACAATAACGTTGACCGTCCGTCGATGTGATTTTCCTTTTGAAAGCGATACGATTTCATCGGCCGAGGGTCGTATCGGCGAGCTCGCTAATCGATCAAACAACAACGCTCCGCGTTGACATCGCGCCAACGTGTTCGGCCAAATATACTCGATAATCGTTCCGTGGCTATCGTTCCCGTTCGTTCGGTTACACCTACCGGTCGTGAAAACCCGGCGAAATTATACGTCGTTAAACGAACAACGTTTTATGCAAATGTCCCGCGGAATCCGGGCTGGATTTGTTAATTAATCGACTGCGAACGAGCCTGAATAGCGGTGTCGAAACGCAATAAGCGTCGCGATGGCGGCGACACGCGTACGCGGCCAGGTGTGCGCGGAATTAGCGTCGATAACTGCCACAATTCCGCTCTGTGTGCGGAACTTCGCTCAAAGAAGAGAGAGAGATGATACTGTCTATCGACGAGGACTGATTCGTTATAGAATTATAGCCGCGCTAACGTAATCTTGAGTGACAGTGTCGCGCGTACAAATACGATTATCAGAAATTACGAGAGAAGATAAGCGAAAATAGGAAGCGATATTGAACTTTAGACGTAACGTAATAAAAAAAAGAAAAAGAAAAAAGAAAAATTGCAAATCTTTTGTACAATGACTGAAATTATTCAATCCATAAATACTACCCCTTTCAAGAAGCTATTGTCCAAACTTAATTATTTCTTCCTCGATAATAAACAAAAGTTTATATAGTTTATATCATTCTAGACTTGAAAATTAATTATAAATAATTTCGCGTTATCGTGTTAAGCCGAAAATTTTTTCCAGGACTAGTAGAATTATATCGCACCGCGTATCAAAGGTACGTTCTCTGAAACTAAGTAGGATAAAGCGACAAGTAACGCGAGATAAAAGTGGCATAATTAATAAAAGTTTATAATTAATCGGAAGTGTTCCATTGTATATTAACGAACAAATCTCGTCTGTTTTAAGAGAATAAAATTAAAAGAAGAAATAACGCATGCTGCTACCATGTCAGTGTACGCTGTTAACGATGGGGTGAGGCAACGCGAGAGAACCACTCCATTTACCTACCACCTCCTTTCATCCCGTTACTCTCCTCATCAGCGGACCATAAGTATCTCCACTGACGGATTTACGACAGCGTTTTTCGCGCTTATCAAAAACCACGACGCCACGACGTTTAGCCATCGCGACGGAATTTCCAAGAGAGAGGCGCGAGCTGGCCGATCCGCTTGCTTCGTATCGCGATTAAATTCGCGCTGGCTGGAGTAACGCCGTTGCTACTCGCTTGATATTCTCCAGGCGTATCGACGGGTGTCGCTTCTTCTCGTTGTCTGCTATGATCGTTCGCGAAAACGACATCGTATTACGTATGCCGCCGAATATGAATCCATCCGCAGTCCCAAGCGACGTTTCTCTTACTCCACCCCCGCGTCCTTCCTGTTTAACCCTCTGTTCTGATCACAACGCGAGAAAATTGATACCTTTACGCCCGACTGTGCCGCGAAGACGCTAACGAATCGTGTTTGCAATTATAATCTTCGCCGTTTCCGATCTCATTTTCCCGCTCGTTGGCTTCATTCGTGATTAATTGCTGTGTCTTCCGACGAGATACTTACGATCGGCTAAGATTTCCCGAAATTTCCCGAAGTTTCCCGAAGTTTCCCGAAGTTTCCCTGAATTTTCCAGAATTTTCCGATTTTTGAAATTTCCCGACATTTTCCGGGTTTTCCGATTTTCTGAAATTTCCCGAAGCTTCCCGAATTTTCCGACTAAATACGATCGGCCAAGATTTCCCGAAATTTCCCTAAATTTTCCCAATTTCCCGAAGCTTTCCGAACTTTTCCGACTAGATACGATCGGTCAAAATTTCCCAATTTCCCAAAGCTTTCCGAACTTCTCCGATTAGATACGATTGGCCAAGATTTCCCAAAATTTCCCTGAAATTACCCGATTTTCAGAAATTTCCCGAAGTTCCTCGAATTTTTCCGAATTTCCATCGCGTTTTCCGCTAATGCGTGATTCGTTTAACACGGAAAGCGTTTGAATTACAGCGTGCTGATTTTCGCGGATTTTTGAGGCGTCGAGAAGAAAAAATGGCGTAAGAGTAAGGTAAAGAAATGTTACCTATGTTATTTTGGTGACTTCGGTATTCGAATTTCGGGTTTTCGAGTAATCCTTTTCCCTCGCTGTCATCGATCACGGGGCGCTCTAATTTGACGCGATCGAATAAATTCGAAGAGAGGCTGTGACGCGCGGGTCCACGCTGCCGGACCAAAGTCCGTAATGGAATAGAAAAATAAAGAGGACGCGAAGTGGATAAAACAATAACGAACGGCGAGGGTTTTTGCCCCGGTTTCACGTGCCACGATATTTTCCTTTTATTCCATTTTATAATAGCATGCATCGAGTCCCGAAAGGGAAATTCAGCCGGCGGAAAGGCACGAAATCGATCCACGTTCTCGCCTCTCCGGCTTCATCATCGCGGCACCTTTTTATCGCGCGACACGGAGATCATAAAAATATAACAAGAGCGTTGCAGCCGGTTTTTCATCATGACATCGGCCGCCCTCTTTCGCGACTAGCATCAGCCACCGCCGCCATTGTCGTGAAAGCAGCGGGATAATAAAGGCACCGCAAAGGCCAACGACGATGGCACAGGCACGCGAAGTAGATAAATTTACGCTTTTGCAAAGCGACAAATTTCGTGTTTCGTTTTGATACAGAAACGAAAGACGAAAACCTTCAATTGCCATTCGAATCTCTGTCTTCGATAAAAAGATGCAAGAAAATTGTAAGAAATATTTCTATATCTCCTCCTGTTTCCTTCTACCACTCTGTACGAAATGGTGACAAACAAGAAGAGTAGAACGAAACACGAGGTTGGTTCTACTACAGAAGAAAACGAATTACCTCCTCCTTGTTACGAAGCATGCCGATCTCGCAGTCAAGTAGAATCGTGGTACCTATCCTGGCAGTGATATTCATCTCCTGATCGTCCTTCTCGAAGTAGGGTCCGAACTTGCCGAAAGCGCTGTCAACGCTCGGCAGCACGAACTTCCTGCCCAACAGTGGCTTCGGGGTGCTGCTGGTACTCGGATCGCCCTCCATTTCGGTCTTGATCGACGGCTTGATCTCGTAGAACACTTTCGTCGACTTATCGCCGGTCAGCAGAAGATTGTTCACCGGTCTGGAATGATCCTTCTTCGGCTGCGAGACGTTTCTCTCCTGCTGCTGCTGCTGCTGCTCGTCACCATCTTTGGTCGCCTTCACGGCAGCCGCGGGCACTTGGAACGAGATCGCCTTGATATCCTCCTGCTTCTTCTGCTCGATCGGTCTCACCTCTGTCACGATGGTCCAGCGGATGGACGCAGTCGTGAAGCCAACCGACTCGTCTCTGAGTGCTTTGTTCGCGCCAGATCCGTCTATCTTCCACACCACGTTCGATATGGCCTCGTCGTCCACCTGGACGTCGTCCAAATCATCCTCGTCTCTCGAACCAGGCATCGGGGCCTCCACTGGGCCGATGCTCGACGCCATGTCCGCTCGATCCGGTCGGGTCGACGCCATCAGAGTCTTGCTCGCGTGACGCACCCTGTTCTCAGCACTGTTGCGTTCTGCCTGTCCGACTTCCAGCTCGAGCACGTCGTTCGGCGCCACTGCGACCGATAACGCGTCGCTCTGATCCCTCTGCGGCTCGTCCACGATCTCGTTCTCCATCCGCGAAACGTTCGCGAGATTTCCGTGATCCGTGGTGACCATCCGAGAGGCTTCGGTCCCTGGACCCTCGCTGGCAGTGTCATCTACGCGAGTACGAAGCGTAACCGCGGTTAGATCATCGACGATGCTTCGGTTCGAGCTCTTCTCGTCCTCCAGAACGCGTCGCTCCTCCTCGTCCACTTCGGGATGATTGATACTGGGCTCGCTGATGGCGCCGCTGTCCGCCTCTGCGGCAGAGAAAAAAGGGGGCAGGTGAGCCGGACGTGTTCTCCATCGACCTCTCCATCCGGTCGTCGCTTCATTTCCGGCGTGAGAAACGGCAGGGTCGGGACCGGTGATACTCGGGGTCGACGACGGAATTTCTCGTGGCTGTCGTAATTGAATGATCGACGAGACGAACGGTGGGATCGCGGGGGTAGAGAGGCTTCCGGAAGTTCCGACTCTCGTGCACGAATAGTTCTCGCGGAAGAATCTATTTGCCCAAGAATACCTCTATTTTTCGATTTGCATCGAATCCAAGATTGCACCGTTGTGGGCGCATATACTCGAGCGGAGTCGAGTAGATTCGTATGTACCGATATCTATATATACTCGAAGGCTGGGAATACCGCGTTTCCGCGCCGATCGATCCGAAAAGTTTCCCAAAACGTGTTCCTCGAGCGCCGGCTTTCGTTACGAGCGGAATCTCCTCTACCCTTCCCCGTGGTCCAACATCTTCAACCGCGTTTTTCCACCGCCGACATTTCGCCGCGCCCGAATGCCCGTTGTTACACCCAGCCGTCGATGCATTTTTTAGTACCCATCGGAAAATGACGTTTTATCATCGCGCGAAAGCGACCCGGTTCTTGCGTTCTATGAATATGTAACTCTGTCTCTGTGCGGCGCGTGACTCGAGTCCGGATAACAAGGAGAGGAGAGAATATCGCAGCCCTCGGGCGGCTCCGCTACACGCTCTATACTTTTCACGAGAACTTTCAACCGAGATACCCGCCATTTGTAATTTTACGTCGAAATGGATATCTCGCGAGCGACCCGAACCGCGTCTCTTTTTCCGCAGTCGCGCCAGGTAGCTCGGGTATCGACTCATTTTTTCACTCTCCCCCCTCCATCTACCACGTACGGACGATTTGTTACCCTCGAATTTCTGTTTTCATCCTATCTCCGTTGCCGCGCTCGTTTTTGCCGCTACGCGACACGGGGTTAATGAAAATTGCGATACGCGCGTGATATTCGGAATTAGAAAACTGGATCTACGAGTGCATTTTGCTGGGAGGAAAAAGGATGTACGGAATGTATGAAGATCGGTTTCAGAATGGTGTAACGTGTTCGTTATTAGCTCCGGAGCGAAGTTTGCGGAGGACGTCTGACAATTTTCTGGCTGTACTACTGCAGCGCAGAAATAGTCTCTTATACGCAGCGGATGAATCTTAGACAGGTTTGATCGCTGTGGCTCGTTCCATTTTCATGTACGTTCAATCTTCCATTGTCTACATCAGTGACTTTCAACTAGTATGTCAAGATACATCGATGCGAAGTAGGGATCTTTGACTTCGCTGATTTTTGAAATATGAAATATCAGACTGATATCGTAGTTCTACCGATATCCTTTCTTCCGGATTGTCAAGTAGAAGAAGATGAAAGATATCAAAGAGATATTGAAATAATTCTAAAATATGCCATGAGAATTTTGAATTAGGTTCTCAATACTCTGTGTGTAAGGTATCGTAGATCTACCAATATCTTTTCCTTCGGATTGTCAAGAAAGAAAAGATGAAAGATGTCAGAGAGACATTAACATGATTCTCAAATATGTAGCGAAAATTTTAAATTAGGTTCTCAACTCCCTGCGTAACAATTATTCGATACAACAGTAACGAATGTACTGTAGCTCTGCCAATATCTTTTCCCTCAGCTTGTCAACTACGAAAAGATGAAAGTTGTCAAAGAAACATTGAAATAATTCTTAAATATGCTGCCAGAATTTTAAATTAGGTTCTCAACACATTGCGTAACAATTATTCGACAGAACACTAACGAATGTACCATAGCTCTGCCAATATCTTTTCCCTCAGCTTGTCAACTACGAAAAGATGAAAGATGTCAAAGGAACATTGAAATAATTCTTAAATATGCTGCCAGAATTCTAAATTAGGTTCTCAACACATTGCGTAACAATTATTCGACAGAACACTAACGAATGTATCGTAGATCTGTCAATATCTTTTCCCTCAGCTTGTCAAGTAAGAAAAGATGAAAGATGTCAAAGAAAGATTGAAATAATTCTCAAATATGCTGCCAGAATTTTAAATTAGGTTCTCAACACATCGTGTAACAATTATTGGACAGAACACTAACGAATGTACCATAGCTCTGCCAATATCTTTTCCCTCAGCTTGTCAACTACGAAAAGATGAAAGATGTCAAAGAAAGATTGAAATAATTCTCAAATATGCTGCCGGAATTTTAAATTAAATTCTCAACACCCTGTGTAACAATTATTCGTTACTCAACACTCTTACAACTACCAGCCCACGTATAATATATTCCCCAATTTCCCACAGGATTCTAAAAAGTAATCCACGAATGCAAAACGAGGGAGGTCGAAAATCACTGGTTCCCATCTCTCGGAGAAGAGTCCTCCCAATCTTCCTCCAATTTTAAACAAGTCCGGAATACAGGAGCAGACTCGAATGACTTCAAACGTAGACTCTAGTCTAGAAGCAAGAATTCTACAACTATTTTTTCATAACGATTAACGCCTGCCGGTTCCGACCCAGGGTCGCGACGAGCAGATTCCCGTGGGAAGTAGTCCGTCTTATCTTGCATTCTTTCCATACGTTCGCGCGAAACTCGCGCCATTTGTCGTGGAAATTATAACGGGGATGAAAATTTCGCAGCGTTCCTCCGTGGCCAGCGTCCGCGGGGCCGTCTTCTCCGGTATGCACTTCCGGCACGAAATGGCCGTCGCGGTGACCGGAAGAATCCCAGACGCTGCCGGCCCTGGTAACAATGCAGTCGCCTAATTTCGCTGTCTCTCGGCCTACCGTGTTGCACTCCTCCGTTCGAAAAATATCGCCATGCCGGAACTTCGTTCTAATGGCCACCGCAGAGGGAAGTTGGCCATGCCGGCCGCTGTCCCACCGATTTACTCGTTTTCATCGCAGCGAGGGAATTTGGTAGTTGGAAAAATAAAATGGAAGTCGAGTGCAGTACATGTGGCACTGTCAGCTGTAATGGAAGGGACCATCGATCAAGAGCATTCGAATTCGCTCGATTTCCAGCGAGTGTGTGGACAAGTGTGTCACTAGTTATGCGGTGTTTAGTTTATCGGTTTATTTTTCTTTCTTTTTTTCGAATGCATTCGATTGCAGGATGGCGGGTAGAAAAATCTGTGGCTGATTACGTAGCACAGTCGACCCCTTTATAACGCGATGTGTCACGTACACATTTCGTTTGTGACATCGCACAGTACAGCGCAAATTGCAACCTAATCCCGAGGGTTGTTAATTATTCGAGTTTACGAATAACCCTCGTCTAACACGAATAATGTTTCAGGTATATCCCCTTATGCCCTAGAGATCACGCGACGAATTTCCACTTGAGAAGGAAAATTTGAGAAAGAAGAGGAAGCGTTTCGCGTTCTGGAGTTCAGATTGCTCCAGATTGGCGCAGCAAGTGCTTGCGTAAGAAAGTAATACTCGGTCGAGGGAGGATTCGTCCATGAAGGGATGTAATTCAAACATTTCGGCGAATACGCGCGGGAATTCGAGAAATGAAAAGAAGCCGAAAGAAGAGGCAGGAGATAAAGAAGCTCGGAGACTGTGGAGACTAAAACCCTACAAAGCAGTATCAGAGATTTTTGTTAGCATTGAAAGGGAGAGAATAAGGGTCGGAGGAATGTTGGCACGATTTTGGAAGAAACGAGGACACTTAGGACGCGAGCTTCGTTTTTCGGCCACATTTCACGGAAGATCAAAGACAGCCTCTCGTCTTTTCTTTCCTCGGCGTTATTGTTTAAACTGGATTCGCGTCCGATAGGCTATCGTCCCTGTTCCTAGTCGATTGAAATCGCAACAGCGAATTTCGCGACGGGAATTCCGTGACTCGTGGTTACGTAACTCTGTTTGCAGCCGAATTCCACGGATACGCGATAAAGCAAGAATTCCTTCGCATGTTCCCCGACTCTGTTCGACTTTTCCGCGACTCTTTCCGCGAGTCTTTGCTATTCCCCGAGCAGACGTTGCGCTTTTCGCGCGATGAACGGAATTCCGTCTACTGTCACGGTCGTTCCACCTTTATCCAGCGCTCCTAGATAACCGTGAGCAGAAAACGCAGGAAAGTGGAAGAATCTACGAGCAGACACGTGCAACTCGAAGATAAGAGAAGCGTTCCGTTATTTTTTCACCACGGTTTTGAGAGTCGTGACAGAAGGGGGTTGTAAAAGCGAAGGTAAAGGTTGACAGGGATGAGAAAGCACGACTCGCATGAGGCCCATCGATGCGTTTACCATATTATACCGTATCAAGGGACGCGCGTGTCATGACCGTGTTTCGAGGAAACCCTGAAATAAACCCTGAAGCAGCCTGAGTGTATGGAGAAGGAGAAGGGGGTGAACTAACAGCTTTTGGCACAATTTAGCGTGCCATTGTCTAGAGTATCCTTAGAGTTCCCTTTTAGGTGAAAATTCTGCGAAGAAAATATTTTCGCAAGTGTTTCGAGACACATTATACTATTAGACACATTATTCATGGAGAATAATTAATGTTGAAAAGCAAGGAAGCTGTGGTGGCATCATTCTCAGCCTTGTCGATAGATGGATTCCTATTTGAAGAAGGTACGAAGTCTTTCTCGCAGGTCCTTGGTGAAAACCTCTCGCTCCTTACATATACAACTTCTAAATTTTCCAATATTATCCCTGTCTAAAGCAGGGTCTGCTAGGTAGCCTTAGCGATGAGTCCACTAACATCCCTTCCTTTCCTATTCATCCCTTCTAGTACCTGCGACCAGACGGCGAGAACAACACTGAAGGAGGACCCCTACAAAGGTAAACAGTGAGTTCGGAACAACCGAGTAATACCCGAAGAAATTATGCCTCTGACGCATTCATAGTCAGCCATATCGCAGACTTTTCTCCTTAACGCAAAAATAAAGAGAATTAAAAAACGTTTAAAAATTCTGTCAAAGTAAATGAAATACAAAATTTGAAATCAGTTAAATTCACCATATCGGAAACTAGAAAAGGGTATCCATATAGAAACTACGCGAATGGGCACGAATGGTGACCAAATAGTGACTAGCAAATGACACTGCGAATTTCTTTAAGACGAATGTTTCCACCTCGTTATTCTCGGAACACTCGGAACCTGTCGGATACCAAGGAATCGGATCACGAAAGTCCGGCAAGCCGGTGTAATTTCCTCAACAACGTCGTAGATTAGGCGTCGAGGAGCGTGCGCCGCAGTGGCGCCAAAAAACGCGCAGAAGAAGCGGTGGACGCGCGAAAAAGTTGCGCTAATTTGCGGTAATTACCCGACAAAGTACGAGCGATCGGTCACGTAACTTCGCTTAATTGTAGAACGCTGCTCATCCATCATAATTTGCCGATTCCGCTGCCGGATTTGCGGCTGCCCGAGAATTTCGCGGATTATTTTTGCCACCCCAGCTCTCCACCCAAGTTTTTCCCCTCGTTACTCGCGACTCCTTTTCTTCCGGTTTATTTTGCCGCACCCCTTGCGCCAATCTCGCGAATATCGAAGGAAAATGTTTACCCTTGTGTTTCAGGATCTTCCACTACGTCGACGTAGTAGTCGTACGAAGACGAGTACACGTGGCACGATTCTACGAGGTAAGGCAAGGCAAGGAAAGGTGACTGGAAGTCGCAGGTACAAAGTCATGGAGGGGTAAGGAATAGCTCTAAAGTCGAATGGCGAACGTTTGAGGACCATAGACTAGCTCGAGTGTGTAGAAGTTGGACCCCAGAGTGGTCAAAAATCGATTGCAACTCGCGAGGAGTCTTTGGAAGCAAATCTGGGGGTCGAAATTCGAGACGAGGGTGGAAAAATGATAAAAATCGATGAGATCCAGAGGAGTGGGGGAAGAATCGATTGCCGAGGTCCACGATACCCAGGAATAATTTCTTTCTCGGTGCAGGTAGCATTCCTCGAGTATACTACTTGTGCCAACCCTGCAGATATCGAAGGTAAATGTTTACCCACGTATTTCAGGATCTACTCTGGCACGCTCGTTCGTGCGAGAGCGAGGAGTAAACACGGTACCATTCTACGAAGGAAGTCGAGGTAACCGGAAGTCACGGGCAGAAAATCATAGAGGAGTTACGAGTAACTTGGAAGCTGAACGGCGAAGTCTGAAGAGTTATAGATACATCTGAAGCTTGGCTTCCAGACCGGACTAAATTCTGAAAGATCGAGTAATCGAGAAAGGAGAGTCGATTCTCGGGGATCGCGATATCCAGGTACGAATATTTCTTATTAAGTGGTTATAACGCAAAGGAATAGTAGTCAGTGGAAACGGTGGAAAAAATGTATAGATGTTCACTAACCCCTTGCACTACCCTGGGATTAAGACCACGAGTCAGACTCGAGATATTCATGTTTGGCCTGAAATGTCGATAACGAGTCACACTCGTGATATTCACGTTTAGCCTGAAATGTGCATCACGAGTCAGACTCGTGATATCCACGTTTGGCATGAAAACAAGCAACGAGCCTGACTCGTGATATTCAAGTTTGGCCTAAAATTTTCATCACGAGTCAGACTCGTGAAAATAGTGCAAGGGGATAAACGGGCAAACGGTTAGAACTGACCTCTTTAGGGTCACAAGACGTCTCTAGAAAACGGGAGACAAAGGACAAAATACAGGGAAACGGATCGCCCCCATATTGTTAGGATGTAGAGATTACTTTATTATTTAGTTTTTACTATAATATTTCTCTTTTTCGATATCAATGACAACGTCGTTGTCGATTCGCGTCCTGGGAACGGAATATCGAAATATCGTTTCATTTTCGACCGTGGCCGCGATTGATCTTCGGTAGGCGGGTTGTTTGCGCGTAAACGAATTTTAGAGATTATTTCCGGCCGGCAGGCCGCGTCATAAAAAGCGACGAACTGTGATCTCTCTTCGCGTTATGTGCTTTTTTCGCCCGATCGATCGAGCACGGTAAACGGTCAAAGCGTTTATCGGCCGGCCGAACGGAATCGCTTACGCGGCGATACGCGCGAGCGGAGTAAATAATCGCGTTCGTCGCGAAAATTCACAGGACTTTGCGCGTCTCCGCCGATAACCGATAGGGAAGACAGCCTATCCGATGGCGGGGTGGTAGGAATTATATCCTCCGACTTCGTTGCGATTCGCTGAAGAAGGCAACTAAATTGTCTATCGGTTATCCGCTCACTCTCGAATATTCTGGAGAGAAGTGAGAAGAGAGAAACTTCGATGCCATAAAATTGTTGATACTTTCGGCGATGACGTACAAAAATTCACGAGCAGCGAAGGACTCTAGCAAAGGAATAATAAACACAGACATCGGTTTCGACTTAGGAGTTTAGGACGATGTCTAGAGTGCGCGTGGGCGGATGGGTGATCACGTGCAAAGATTCTACGAATGAGATATTTATGACAGGGTCGAGTGCAAGCAATGAACGAAAGTCTAGGAATGCGCCCGAGTATCTGAAGTACCTGGCTCAGGTTGCGTAGGAAATGAGTGATCGTAATATATATTACCATCCAAATACGTTTGTACCCTACTGTCACACCTCACTGTCACGAAGTCCGAAGTACCAGACAGTGAGACTATCGTAGTGTGGGATTGCGCGCAGCGAAGGACTCTAGCAGAGGAATAATAAACAGAGGCATAGGTTTGGACTTAGGAATTTAGGACGATGTCTAGAATGCGCGTGGGCGGATGGGTGATCACGTGCAAAGATTCTACGGATGAGATATTTATGACAGGGTCGAGTGCAAGCAATGAACGAAAGTCTAGGAATGAGTCCGAGTGTCCGAAGTACCTGGCTCAGGTTGCGTAGGAAATGAGTGATCGTAATACATATTACCATCCAAATACGTTTGTACCCTACTGTCACGAAGTCCAAAGTACCAAACAGTGAGACTATCGTAGTGTGGGATTGCGCGCAGCGAAGGACTCTAGCAAAGGAATAATAAACAGCGGCATCGGTTTCGACTTAGGCGTTTAGGGTGACCACGTCCAAGGATTCTACGGATATTTATCTACAACTGGGTCGAGTGGAAGCAATGAACGAAAGTCTAGGAATGCGCCCGAGTGTCCGAAGTACTCTGCGTGGCTGAAAAGAAGTCATCTCGTTCGGCTGCGGAACAAGAAGGGTATTTCACTTGTTCCGCCTACACTCTCGCTAGTAATACCCACTCTTCTATGACACTCCTAAAACTACTACTTCCAAGTTCGGTAACGAGATACGTTAACATAGGCGTAAGACATCCAAAAGGCGAAAGAAATGTTATCTCAGAGTTAACTTACAATGAATGGGAAGCACTACTACGCCAGGCAAGAAACGAAACGACACCAAATGGATTGTACCTGACTCACCAAAGGCGAGGTTACATGTTAGATTTTAAATAAGCGTGCTAGGGCGCGGAGAAGGTAGAAGGCAGAATGTGTGTAGTCGAGACGTAGTGAATAAAGAATCGTATGCTCGGGAGTTAGAATTGAGAGAAACTCAGTGTAATATTTTAGATACATAAACCTGTTTTGTTATTAAACAGGAGATGTTGTTTATTAAACGCGTAGATCTCTGTCAGAAATCCTACAAAATTATCCCGTCCTGTATTCCATTATAAATTTTTCAAATTTTACACAACGGTCATTGAGAGTAAACCCCTTACTCCTTGAAGAGTTATGAAATGAGTAGCAAACGCCCTGACCTGAATTAATTTAACAAATTGAACAAAATTTCTCTCTTATCCTAAAAGATGGCAGGACATTCAGACAAAACTTTCCAAGCTCCAACAATTTCGAAATTTATGCATGTTTTATTACGTCCGTAGTTCAGCATGCATATTATATCGTGACGTCATAGAACGTCTGCAGGGGTGAAATGATTAAATGGCAAAAAGAATTACGCGCGTTATGATATTTTAATTTAAAATTAATAATCAGGGGATGGAAAACTGGTACAATTTTTAAAAATATAGAAGAGGTCGAAGGTTTCATCGCGCGGAGAAGAATAGCTAGATTTTACACCGCGAGATGAAAGACACGAGGAAAAATAGCGAAACATGGCGGAAACTCACCTGACGGCGTGGCAGTGATCATGACGGAGACAATGGCGATGACGCCGAGCGCCGATGCAGTCGGCCGCATTCTCCAACCGGTCATATCGAGGATCCGCTCGCTCTCAGCCTTCAGGGATCTGCTCCATCTCGTTCATCTTCGCTCTAAACGTAAACAGCGGAATTGCCGCGTTAAACCATTACGGTGGAAGAAGCACGTCGATGGAAGCTCTCGTAAAGTCGACCGTAATCGACGTCGCAGAGCTTGGCTGCCTTCCGTCAGAGATTTCCACGCTTTCGTCTACGACTCTGACGAATCTGCCGCGATCGTCGACCAATCGGCTTTACGAGGATTCTTCTCTTAAGATTACGTTCAAACTCGTGGAAATTTCGTGGAATTGCGCGGTATAACGCGTCGATCGTTACACGAATCGCGTTCCATCGACGATTTATTTCCCGTCAAAAATAGTTTCGACAGCTCCTTCGCCTTAATTCGAAGGAATTCGTCTCCTTAGATGGGCCGGGACGTTAATGAAATTCCGCGGTCGCTGCGCGTCTGGCCAGCGTTTAATTAAGAGAAACTTTCCACGGCGACGGTTTTTAAACTTCCCGCCGAATTGGACTGGCGGCGTGCAGCGTATTTTCCAGCAATTTACCGGATTCCATTCCCCGTTGCTTCCACCGCGACATAGTTCTCGGAGATCGAATCGCGTGCAGGGAATTTCGCGATACACAAACTATTTCTCCCTTATTCCGCGTCCGGATCCATCGCGTGGCCGGGCTACAACTACCCCGATAGCGGTTAGAAATTGGGGGAAACGTTTCGCTGGAAAAACCATTCGTTCCCGACTAATATTTCAACGACCGGTTAAACCCGGCTACTCTACAAATTCCAACGAGTTGCCATACACGTCCAGGCCAGATTTTCACGGGAGACCGATCAATTTCACCCATCATTTTCGCCGATGTATCGAAATTACGGGCCGCTGTTGGCCCTCGACTCGTTAGCCAACTCGAACGCGCGTGTTTCCACGGAACATTCGAGCCGGGCGCGGAGTTGCGAGCATACAGTGACACCCCGACACAGAATCGTACGTATCCCGAAAATTTCGACCACACTGCGTCCCGTGGGACTCTATGAACCACCCCGAAAACGCGACAATGTTTGCACCGCTAGCTCGCGCGCGCTCCGGACATCTGTAACGTTATTACTCGGGTAAGCGTGATATATCAAGGGGTGCCGAAACGCGCGAGGGAAGATCTCGATGTATTTCTTCGACGATTCGAGTCGGTTACCGGGGTCGAGAAAGTAGCTAGAGATTTGCATTTCGTGATATACGAATACGCGTGGAGTCGCAGGGAGTGTCTTCTTATCGGGGGTGGTTTTAATATCCGGGAGGATACAGCGAAAATTATCGCGTGATCAGTTTGGGGAGAACTCTGAAATTAATGGGACGTTGTTATGGATATATATAATTTTCTTTCTTAAAATTAGAACGTGCAAAGATAATAATTTGTTAATAAATAAATGGAATGTAGCCAGTGAAATGACTGGTTAGAAAATTTGTCGGTTGATGATGGCTTTGAGGGGAATATTGCGTTAGTGGTGGATGAAATATTAATAATAAGAACAATTCTTCATTTAATTACAAAGATTATCAAATACAAATATTAAGTTTAAATGTAATTAATGAGTTAAATGTAATAATGATCGCAATCATATGCTCACACTATGCTCTTACTATTGAGAAGACCTATGCCAAATCACTTTCGTTTTGTTCTTTCTTGTTTCATATATTACATTAACATACACAATTCACACACACCTCAATTTCCACGTATTGTTCCTTAATTATTTATTTATTTATTTGTAAACGGACTGGAAGCTCTTTATGCACATAACTGTGTAAACATAAAATTGCACGCGATACGTAAAAGAAACAGAAGAACAAAGGTTTTACAATTTCTAGAAAGCCTGTGTACTTGTAAAATTATTGTATAATTTATTAGTTATTAGTTATTAACTATTCATAGTTATTGTATAATTGTGGTGTTTCGCAATTGACGTTAAAAATCTTGTAGAGAACCGGTAAAGAAGTCAATGCTTTGACGTTTTATTTGGATGTATGTATACGATATGAAAGTTAAGACTAATCTTAAAAATTATCGATTCAGAGTAAAACGACTAGCTGATGTAGCAGCTGATGAGCTAACTTGAGATGACTAACTGTCAGCCCAGTAAAAATCGACCCACTGACTACCGCTGTTCAGAACAAACTGATCAAATTGTAATCCGACTAAATATATTGTCTAAATCAGACTCACATCCTGGCAAACTTATTTAAACCTCGCACTCTGTCTTCTTTCATACTCGTGATCGCTGTTTATTGTCTTCTATTTTCGAGGAACGGCCCATGCGTTCCCACGCACTCTGCAGTCATACCTACACAAAAGGTACTGTCACAGGCAGTGACCTTATACCCTAATCACGCCACGCTCGCAATTCTCACATTACTTATATAAGAAACGAACGGAAAATACTCGCCATGAGTTACCCGTACCCTCTGTCAGGAGCGTAGTAATCTACCATAGCCCCACAGCTTTACGCGAATCGGCCAAAAAGCAGTGCAACGAAGAACGCGTCAGTGTACCAGCGTGACCTAACCAAGGTTACACTGAAGTTACCGAAGCTCGCGGTAGCCTAAACGCCACAAGTCCAGGAAACGTTCGCGACGTCTCGACGTGGCGATTAATTCCCTGTCAATGTCACCGCAGACATCCAGTCAAGACGTCGAACCTCGACTCGATTCTTCCACTCCGATTCTCTCGATCTATCAATTAAACAGACCAGCACGCGTCGCGGTGACCTTCAACCCCACCCAGCAGCCCTAGGTCGCGAATTGCGATTTTGGCAGCAGCCAGGCACTGCAAGAGACACGTCTGCGAGGGACACCGCAATGCCGCAGTCGCTCGTGACAAATCTCGGCTGACTTGCAATTGTAATGTTTAATCAGACGCGTAATTATGTCTACGGGCCGACGCTGCAGCCACTCGCGGGCCACAGACGAATGAAATTTCCCCTGGCAAGTCGAATATTCGCGAGGACGAGATTTACCACGGTCCACACGCGCTCGCTTCCGGCCCTTCCGCGCCACGCGCTCCGCTTCCGCTCGCGCCTTTCCTCCCACGCCCTCTTCCGCCCCTAACGAACGGCCCTGCCACCCTCGGCCGCCGTTTTCGACCGTTTAATCGGCCAGCGCGTGGGTGTTGAACTTGGTTAAACTTTCGCGCTTACCAGCGACGTATATCCCGACAGACTTTTTCAGCCCTCGCTTTCAAGTTTTCTAACGACCTTTTAATGCCTACCGCCACTGCTTCGATGCCCCTTTCAACGTTTTTCTACCCGTTTCGCCTTTATCGCTGGGTCGTGGAATAGTCTTCAACGTGTTCGCACGAAATTTATTTTACATAACGCCGTATTTTTATATTTTGCTCTTACTGTTAATCCTTGAAATACCGTTTCCGGTATTCCGTTTATCTTTTTGTTTAGGACAGACTGTGTATCTAAATGCGAGAGCTCTGAAATTTTACAAGTACCAGTGCTGCGGCCCTAGGACCGCAATGTCCCAGGTCAAGTGGAGGACTGGTTTATGTCCTTATTGTCAGCGTCCCTTGACTTCTATACACTCATTGTCACTCAAGCCACCACTTGGGTAAACCGTAACAAGCAACGATATATCACCCTTAAGACGACAGGCATAAGGACCCAGATTGTTTAAACAACCACCACTACCGAAAGACGATGGAGCTAGCACACACCCCAATATTATTCGCAACCAATCAGCAGACAGACGAAGCTTATAAAACCACCGACAGAGAAGTCACGATGAGAGTTCTTCTAAAATACAGTCTACTTAACACTTCGAAGCTAGACACAACCTTCCTCAAAGAACCGTACGTTACTAATCGTTGTCAATTAAGATCGACCTAGTGACGATATACATCGTGTTTAATTTTCTGCCAAGGGGTGGAGTAGACAGTTTTCAAAAGCTTCCTGACAATTTGACGGATTTATTTATACCCCAAACACTGTCAAAATCTGGAACAGTTTTGTATTACAGAGTATTGTATTACAATCTCTGATAGTTCCTCACAGAACTAATTAAAAACTGTCATTATCGATACTCGAGTTGGTACTGTGCATGCCTCGCGAGAAGCGAACTAATCAGTGGGAATAACAGAGAGACATGTCGTCCAATGTTCCATTAGATAAATCGGTCACGCATACCAACCCTTTGCACTCGAGTGGTGACTCTCACTCACCGTTTGCTTTAATACTATGAATCTCGAGTAACCAATATGAAGCAATAACTAGATTAAAATTACACGTGAAATATTGAAATAAAATACGCGTGATTTTCCTTTTTATTTTACCATAAATGGTATCACCGAGCTTAGGAAAATATAAGAAAAGCTTCGAATTGTTATACATTTATCTCCCCCAATTGAATGTGCAATGAAGACTAATCGTCGCCAACTAAGATCGACCTAGTGACGATATACACTTACCGCTGTCAATTTTTCGACTGGTTTCATTCCCTCCGTCCGTTTTGTAGAATTAACACTTTGCACTGTGATTTAAATTCCCATGGCACGTGCCATAGGGAACAGCAAGGTCGGTCACAGATTGAGCAACCGCGTCCGAACGCGACGAAGAATAACACGCAACTGAGCAGGAAAACATCTGCCGGTTCGAGCCAGACTATGTTTACGTTGGAGCCTGTTTACAACCACATCTCCCACTACGTCGTGTTTAGCCCGATTTTCTTACCACGAACTTCACGAGGTATTGTAGACGAAGAGATTAACCTTCGAGCGGAGACCACTGTTTTCATAGCACAAATGGTAACGCGAAATGAAATTCACGTTATTGACAGCCTTATCAATAGCGGTGACTTGAAGTCAAATTAACTGCTTAAACACAGGACCTTGACGCAACATATACTGATATTTTGTTCTCACTGTCGTATTTCCTGGATAAATTTCGCTGATGCATACTATTAACGCTTGCAAAGTTCATCACGACATATTCGAAATTAACGATTC